GGGAGAGGGAGAAGCAGGCTTCCCGCGGAGCAGGGAGCCGGATGTGGGGCTCGATCTCAGGACCCCGGGATCATGACCTGAGCCGAAGGCAGACGCTTGACGACTGAGCCCCTGCCCCGTACAGACATGGAGTTCTTGTAGGAGCTTGTGCCTGTTGTCTGTGAGCCCTCCTACTGAGGAAGACAGCGTGGGCATTACCACCCCGTGTGACTTAGAGACCGGAAAAACAGATTGCTGAAGTTTTACACCAGTGGTGAGGACCAAGAACTAATGAAAAATGGGAAAGCACAGCCCAGGAGAGAAAATGAAGATGCTAACCATGTTTTGATTAAGTGGATTTGACAACAAGAATGTAAATAAATGCCACTGATTGCTTTGTTGATCGGGCAACAAGCAAGGATATATCATGAAGAACTGCTCTACTGAGGACAAACGTTAGTGTTAAGACGGGAGGGTTCAGAAATTTAGGAAGCCATGTAGTGAAAAATGTCTGAAAGTATGGTGAAAATGATTCTGCTGATCATGAAACAGCTGAACATAACCCTGATGAATTAGCTGCGATAATACCAGATGACAGCCTGAGTGCTGAATAAATCTGCAGCGGTGTGGAATACCGTGGTAGTAGCATACTGTTAAATTGCTCTGCGTAGGAACTGCGTCACTTGGCAAGCCCACAGCAGTGTAGGATTGTGCCTATTTCCATACAACCGTACCAGCAGAGAACATCACCAAACTGTAGGATGTTCATTAATCCAATAGCAAAGAAATGATATCTCAGTATATATTCATGTCCACAGTGTTTGAATGAGCCTCACAAAATACCTGGGCAAAAATCTTCAGGCTAGTTCACTAACACATACAGGTGAGCCAAGCTCCAGGCAGGCTGGACTGAAGGCAACTGAAAATTTTAAGTTATTCGCAGACAACCCGTTTGTGCATTCTCCTCCTCGAACTTTTAGTTACAAGTTGGCAGTTGCCAGCCCCCAATCTGGAGTATTGATTGGGGGGAGAGGAGTAAGTGTCTTCTCGTTCTTACTGTCAAGAATCTGTCCCCTTTTGTTCTGTCGATGGGAGTGGCCTTTCCTTCTGTCACAAGAACAGATAGTCCCTGAGGTGGCGGCATAGATCCATCTAGCAAATTTATCTTTCAGTCTCAGCACTGAAGGAAAACTCTCTGAAATCAGAAGAGACGTACCACTGAAACTTGTAGCCGAAGGAGTGAACATCTGAGTATCTACTGCCCTGCGTTCCACATCTTTACTACTTGCCACGTGGCCGTAGGAGACATTGGAAAAGAACACAAAGATGGCATTAGATCTACATTGATGCCATTTATCAGCTGGATGTTAGAGAAAAAAAACTTTCTGGGCCTCAGTTTCTCTGAGCTTTGATGTCCCCGGGTATAATATGAAGAGATTGGACTAGAGATGATATTTAAGATCCCTTCTGGCTCTAACGATGGCATTTCAGGGATTCTGGTAGCTAGCCGCACTATTATACTGTAAGTGCTTATTAAAGCAGGAACTTCTTGTATAATTTTTCCAGGTTTTTTGCATTGGAAACTATCAGCAAGGGTAAATAATTGTTGCACATGTTTATCCTTTAGGGGCTAAGATGGATCTTGTACTCAATGCTGCAGATTATTATTTTTTTACACCATACTTCTATCCAGCCTCATGGTCTGAGGATGACATCTTCCGACAAACTATTAGTCTCCTGATTGTAACAAATCTTGGTGCTTATATCCTTTATTTCTTCTTTGCAACACTGAGTTATTATTTTGTCTATGATCATTCATTAATGAAGCATCCACAATTTTTAAAGGTAAGTGATTTTCTTACCTACTTTTTAACTACTGTTACAGTAAAAATAATAGGTATTTGTATGTGAGATTTTCAAACTAAACTGGTTATAGCCATTCAGTAAAAATTTTTGCAACCAGCCTCAGATGGGTTAGATGTTTTTGGTAGGGCTAATCCCCTCTCTCCTTCTCTTAATTTAAACAAATAAATGAACCCAACTTTCTTTTTTGTTATTTGGTTTTTTTTAATTATAAGTGTCTTGTGTCTTCCTAGATACATAGGAATGAATTTCTTTGCTAATAGTGATGAATAAATAAATGCACACATTTGTGTAATTGTTTTAATGTTTGACTTCCACAAACTGAAACATGTTTTTACTACGTACCCATTTTTTGACTAGATAGGAGATTGTAGACTTGTTTACAATCATTTTTCTACTCCAGTTATTTGTATTTATCAGTGACTCCCAAGGACTGAAAAAAAAAAATGAATAGAGGGTTGGGGATGGACATTATTTGTGAAAGACATGATTAATCCATAAATAGAAATCTAGCATGCAGATTTTGTGGGAAAGAGAGAAAGTTTCAGAATTTAAAGTATTTATTGCCTTTGCTCTTTACAAAAGGAACGTTCTCCTTACACACTCATTACCACTTATTGCCATTTTCAGAAACAGTTTGGCGGCAAGCTCCTTCATATAAAAGAGATTGTAAAAATCCAAGATGATTTTATGCTGGTTTGTGTTTAACACAGATTTTGTGATTTTTAAGTACTGGCCATTTCATTTTCAGAATCAAGTCTATAGAGAGATTACGTTTACTGTCCAGTCATTGCCCTGGATTAGTATTCCCACTGTGTCACTGTTCCTGCTGGAATTAAAAGGTTACAGCAAATTATATGATGACGTAGGAGAATTTCCCAGTGGTAAGTTAATAATATGAATGTCAGGCACAGAGTGGCTTCTCTAAAGAACCAATCTGCCTCTTTTTTTCTTTGAAAATAATTGCCAGTTTTTTAATTGTTTTTAATGCTCTGTTTTTGTGTATTATGTCTTGCCACATACATACATTTCCTAATCTATCAATTTTAAAGTATTGGTTGTAGATGGAATTGTGCCCAGGGAAAGCTGAATATGATCAGAGAGACCTTTGCATTCATTCACTATTCTCTTTATTGAATTCAGACTCTAAAAACAAAACAAAACAAAAAACTCAAGTAGTACATGATAATTAGAAAAAATCAGAAAAGACAGTTTTAAAATCCACTATCCTGCCACCTAGAAACTACCTCTTTTGACATATATCTTTCCACTTTTCTATGCCTGTCTACTTCATTATTTGTTACAAAAATGAAGCCCTACCATATAAACTGGTTTGGACTTTGATTTTTTTTTTCCTTAGTAGTATATATGCCCATATTTTCATGTCAGTAAATATTGACATTATATAGTATATTAGTTATAGTATCACATTGTGTAGATATCCATAGTTTATTTAAATGATCCCCAATTTTTTAGACCTTTAGATCATTCCTTTTTTTCTATTATAGATAGCCCTGCAGTGCCTAAACTAAATTTTTGTGAAATTCTGAAATTATTTAATGAAGATACATCTCTAGTATCTAGTATTAGAAAGTAAGAATAGTAGTGAACATTTATTGAGTGTTTTTACGTACCAGCTACAGTTCTAAGCTTTTCACATGTATCAGTCTGTTTTATTCCACATCAATTCTATGACGTGTTCCTTTTATAGGTGAGTAAATTAATGTACAGTAACTTGCCTAGGTCATTCAGCAAGGAAGTGGTGGATCTGGGACTGGAACCCAGACTTGCTTGCACCAGCACACCTGTTGTCCAAGTAAGATATTTGAAGGAAGGAACAAAAATTATACAGTAGGGTGATGAATTGGCTAGGCCTTGAAAAGTGGATAGGATTATGAGTAAAAATAAAAGGAGAACTAGTGTTCTAGATACCTGGAACAGAACAAGTCAAGGTACAGAGGTAAGACTTTCAAGATGTTGGGAGGACATTGAGTAAACCAGCCTGCTTAGTGCAGGAACAGGTGAGGTTGGAAAGATGAGAAAGTGTTGGGTTATGGAGTAAACGCTAGGCTTGAGGTATTTAGTGGAAAATAAAATTCTAAGCAGGAAAAGAGTATGTAAAAATATGTTTTACGAAAATTAATATGAAGGAAAAATAAATGGTGTTATTTATGCTCAGAGATTTAAATAATAAAGATGCCTTAAGTGTATGCTTTTTCTATCTCGAAATTGCCTTCATAGTTTAACTTCAAGTTTTTATGGGAGGGAAATGAGGAAAGCAGCAGATACCAGGGAGTTAAGGGAGATTAATTTATAATGTATTGCATTAGCCAAAACAGTTTATAGTGTTTGAGTCTAAGCTCACATTTTGTGCACTTAGATGGACAAGTACCAAATAAATTCTGGTCCTGGAAGCCAGATCTTGATTCTGATATGTCCTGTTATCTCTCCTAGGCTGGGTTCGCCTCTTTATTAGTATACTGTCCTTCCTCTTTTTCACTGACATGCTGATCTACTGGATTCACAGAGGCCTTCATCATAGACTTGTGTATAAGGTAGAGTCGTTTTTAGGGGAAAGAGAAAAAATATATACATTTCAGCAGTGTATGGTTACAAATTCTGTTTTCTAGTTTGTTCTTAAGATTTTATTTATTTGAGAGAGAGAGCATGCACAAGCAGGGTGGAGGGGCAGAGGGAAAAGCAGACTCCCCACTGAGCAGGGAACCCAAAGTGGGGTTCGATCCCAGGACCCTGAGATCATGACCTGAGCCGAAGGCAGGCATTTAACTGACTGAGCCACCCAGGTGCCCCCAAATTCTGTTTTCTATTTCCAAGAATTTCCTCTAACTTATTAAATACCTGAGTAGCCATAGTCCTGACAGATACCAGGTTCATTTTGTTTTTGTTCTTTATGGGTCTGGAGGGGCTGTGTTAACATGTTACTGTTTTCAGGTAAAGGGGTGCATTTTATAAAGTGATTTTGTGGAATTTAAAGAGATTTTTTTAGTTATGTCATTTCTACAATGTGAGCATGAAAAGCCAAGTTGAAAAGTAAAGGTGGTTCTTAACTGTGTTCTTTTCTTCTATAGCGCATACACAAACCTCATCATCTCTGGAAGATTCCTACTCCATTTGCAAGTCATGCTTTTCACCCTGTGGATGGCTTCCTTCAGAGTCTACCTTACCATATATACCCTTTTATCTTCCCATTACACAAGGTGGTCTACTTAAGTTTGTACATCTTGGTCAACATCTGGACGATTTCCATTCATGATGGTGATTTCCGTGTTCCCCACATTTTAAGGCCATTTATTAATGGCTCAGCCCATCATACAGACCACCACATGTTCTTTGACTATAACTATGGACAGTATTTCACCTTGTGGGATAGAATTGGAGGCTCATTCAAAAATCCTTCCTCCTTTGAAGGGAAAGGACCACTTAGTTATGTGAAGAAGATGACAGAAGAAAAGTGCAACAGTCATGCAGAAAATGGTTGTAAAAATGAAAAATTATTCAGTGGGGAGTTTACAAAGACTGAGTAGATTGGTGCCCTATTATTAAATATTATGAAATATTTTTAATAAGGAAAAATAATCTACATACATACAACCAAGAGACATAGCAAGCAGATGGTATTTGAGAGTCCGCATTGTGGGTACTGCTGAGGAATGATCGTGATGTAGATCAAGGAAGGAATGCTGAGAACACCGAGATTTTAACCTCATGTTTACCATATTAGGTGTTGGTCTCAAGGACGTGTCGTATCTCTGTAGCCAGCATATCTGTAACTTGTATAGCCTCAACAACAGTTTTTGTAAGGATAGAGAATAAATTATTGAGGGGACTAGGTTATGTCATTTTGCCTTAATCCGCCCATATTCATTAAGAAAAATACATTGTGCTTGATAATACCAAGACCAAGCATCATAACAAAGAAATACTAATATAAACATGGTTCCTTGTTTCAGGAATGGTTAAGTCTTCAATGTTGGTATGATAATGACTACCTGTAGTATTTTGTTCCAGTGGATACATCAGTGTGAAAAAAAAAAAAATCTGATAGAACGTATTAGTGGCCAAGTAAATGACCTAATTAATAGCAGGTGTAATAAGATTATCATCTTCCTACACATAGGAAGCTTATTCTCTGGGGACATTGTCAAATATTAACATTTTACTGATGAAAAAATAAATTAGAATTTTTAAAAATACTGATACTACCACAATTTAATCCAGATCTGGGCTTATTTAAAGATTTTGATGGTTATTATTTTAAACCATTATTTAATAAGATTATGTGAAGCTGAATATATTTAGAAAGGGAAATTTGATGCCCAGGTAATATATTTGACTCTACTGCTTTTTTAATTAAATGGATGCACTGCACTTTTGATATGTTTCAAAGTTACAATCTTATAATTTCCTATAAAAGGAAGTAATTGCCAAATATTTAGGCCGATCACTGAAGATTAGTTTTGAAATCTTATTTTCCCTCTTCTCCCTTCACTTTTCCCCACTTTCTGTGCAAAAAGATTTAACAAATAGTTTCATAAAGAAATGTTGTGTGTTATAAGTATATTGGAAAAACGTGGTTTGGAAAAGGCATTCTATAAGGTATTTATGTAAAATCAATAAAAGTTGATTATTACTATTATTAAACTGTATCAGTTAAGTATTGTAACAGCACAGAGTATTCTTTGTACAAATTTTGTGTCAATTTGAAACCACAGAAATGACGTGGATTTTCAGAACTTTTAAATGTCCCCAAATGTTCAATGTCAAGGGGAGAAAGAAGGGGGTATCACATTCTTTTTATATTTCGTATCTTTATTAGATTTGAGTGTTTTAGCAAGAGACCAGTCATAAAATGTAATGCTTGGGATCCAGAAGAAAATACTTTTTTCTGAGTTACTATTACAGTGTTGCGCTACTTAAACATTGTAGAGAACCAGTTGGTGTTTTGTAACTGATAGATACAGCCGGTGATTTCCACTGACCACCGCCCCCCGGCCTCCAGTACTCCGCTTTGCCCCCCCCCCCCAAAGGAAATTAATAAGTAAACTTTGTTTTCTGTGATAATGACAGCTAATATTCAAGTTTTCTATTTCTTCCTGCTCATCTTTGGTGTAGTGTATATGTTTCTAGGAATTTATCCATTTCTTCCAGGTTGTCTAATTTGTTGGTGTTTTTCATGTTTTCTTCCTTGTATTTCTATAGTGTTGGTTGTTATTTCTCCTCTTATTTGTGATTTTCTTTATTAAGGTCCTTTCTCTTTTCTTTTGGATGAGTCTGGCTAGAGGTTTATCAATTTTATTAATTTTTTCAAAGAACCAGCTCCTGGTTTCATTCATCTGTTGTATGGTTTCTTTTAGTTTGTAGATCGTTTGTTCCTGCTCTCATCTGTATTTCCTTCCTTCTTCTGGCTTTAGGCTTCATTTGTTGTTCTTTTTCTAGCTTCTTTAGGTGTAAGTTTAGGTTGTTTATTTGAGATTTTTCTTGCTTCTTGATGTAGGCCTGTATTGCCATACACTTCCCTCTTAGGACCCCTTCCCCGAGGTTTTGGACTGTTGGGAATGACAGCTAATATTTATTGAGCTTTTACTCTTGGTCGGGCACTGTTACAAGTCCTTGACATTAGGAAATTGGGATGCAGTTGCATGACTTTTCCGAGGTTTTTCTCTCTTGTAAAGCCCAATGTGGATGTTTTGGTCAGTGGACAGCTTTCCATGGTCATTCTGAGACCCATGCTCCTTCCATCTTGGGGCTGCCTGTCTCCAGTTTCCAGAGTCTTCTTTGTTGGAGGAGCCCACAGGGGAAGAGGGCCCGAAAGTCCTGCATATCCCTGACCCATGTTCCTGTGGACAAAACTTTGTCGAATGGCCCATCTCAGATCACCAGAGATGCTGGGAAATGTGCCTTAATTGTGCCTGGGAGGACAGGGCAACTGCTTTCTGGAACAGCTAGCCAGTTTGCCATGCTCACATAATTTATTCTTTTGGGGGTCCCAATAAAGGCTTTGAAGAGATGAATGAGCCCCCAGAGTGCTTCAAGTTATCCATCCCCTGGATGTCTTGGCGCCTTAATTCCATTACTGCAAGTATGAGTGTTAGTTTCCTCTAGATTCTTACTACTGTGTAGCTAATAGAAAAGAAGGGACATAATATATAGGGAGAGGAAGGCTTCCTAAAGATGTTAGTAATAATCAAACTAGTCTCTGCCCTCCCTCCTTTTTTCTTAAATTCTAGTCTTATTAGGCAGTATTATGCTAAGTGGTCCTGCAGTGTTTCTGGAAAGCTACAGCATTGTCCAGGTCTCCATTAGAGGGATTCAGACAGGATTCGTGCAAGTGAGGAACATCAAGTGAAAGGCTTTTCCCCTTGACTTGGAACCTTTTGTAGTTGAAGATCAGAAGGGGAAAGTCAAGATTACATTCTCTACTTTTATGGTAGAAATCAGGAAATGGAAGGAGGTGGTACAAGAACACATTTCAAAAACCCAGAGACTTTTATTGGGTGCCGTCCTCTTCTTTGCGTATGTTCCTCTGTCTGCCTGTCTCTACATGCCATGCATTTCCTACTTCTCATTGCCCTGGCCCACGTTTCTTTCTCTTCCCATCTTCAAGAAGTCAGGGACAGACCTGGCAGATAATTCCGAGTGCAGGTTTTGATGCATGGAGTCTGCAGTGCTGGCAGGTTATTTAAATAGAGATGGTGTCCGGGGAGAAGGGGGAAAGTAGGGAGACGAATCAGAACAAAGATTTGGGACTGACCCAGAGAGAAGAAAAGTTTGAGGCCATGAGATGTCTGAGGAGAGCATGAAAAAAGATATCCAAGAAACAAGCCAATGTAGGGGGTAAAGAACTTCCTTTCCTTGTCTTCACACCTTCTTCAAAGTCAAAATCCTTGACTGGCAGTCTTGTATCAGAGTTACTGCTTTCTGTCCTCTAACACTGTTAAGTGCACCCTAGTTACTCTAGATCCCAGATTCCCTCAAAGTAGAGACCATATGTGAATCATCACTGTATTAAACTGTGTGTCCTTAAAAGACATAGTTGGGGTTTGATAAATACTTTGCTGAAGGAACTAATGGAAGTGTCATTCTCTTCAGGAAACATTGAATGAACCCCTACCAGGTGCCCCACACTGCACGAGGGGCTGCAAATATTTCTTCTGTAGATTCTTCATCACCACCTTTTTAACCAGTAATTCACTTCTTACTTATTCATTAGCTGACATTTGCTGAGTGCCTGGGAGGAGTCAAAGGGAAAGTAAAGAGCAATCAAATGGGTCCTCACCAAGGATGGACTATCCTTTTTTCCCCCCAAAGCCCCACCTCCACTGGGAACCAACAAAACCCACCAGTACCCTGGATTCTGACCATACAGGAATCAGTAGTCTGAGTACCGATCAGAGGGTTCATTGAATCTGTGTGCAGTTACTACATAACAGTGCTCTGGATACAGAAAGAAAAAAAATAGATCTTCACAATTATTGGTTGATTACACCAAGAAATGACAAACCAGGGAGGACAAAGCTATAGCTTCAGCTGGAGTGTAATTCGCCTGAGAAGAATGACAGACACTAATTGCTTTGGACTTAAACAGTTATGAGTCCTGGCTCTGCCACTTGCTGATTGCATGACCTTGGTTTCTCTATCTGTAAATTGATGGAAATCCTCCCCACCTAATAAGATGAAATAGGTTAGAAACACTCAATTAAATGTCAGCAGAGGCCATTCTTCATGTAAATTGTGCTCAATGCCTCTGCTTTCTAGGTTCAATGATTATTGTCATTACACCTAGGATAGGCCCTCAGTGGAAATCAATTGCTGGGAGAAAAAAGCCCCCGGGTCCTTTCAACCTTAACACTGGAGGGTGAAAGACAGGGGGTGAGCTAGAAATAGGGGGCAGAGAGGAAAATCATAAGTAAAACCAAAATTGACACATGATCTACTGTGAATTTTTTATAAGAATTGTAAGATAGCTAAATTATTTGTTGCTAAATTTATTTTATTTTATTTTATTTATTTTATTTACTGCTGTAAACCATAAGGCCAGTTTACAAGGTTTTGAGGTAAAGCAGAAGAAACTTAACTTCCCTGGAAATTAAATTTCGTAAAGGCAAGAAGGACGTGTGTGAACTGTGTTATTGAGCTTCACTGTCAAAGCAGAGTTTTGGTATGAAAAAAAAAATACTTAGAAATACTTAATGTTAATACTTCATTAAAATACACTTAAGTCGTAGTGTTTCTTAAATCTAGGCTCCACCTCTTATTAAAATATAAGTACAGTAAAATTTGTACAATAGTAAGAGAAATTATGTTTTCAGTTCTTTGATCAACAATTAACTCAGAAGTCTGACTGATTAAATGCTCCTAAACACTTAACACTGTTTACAGATTTGATTAATCACATTTTCTTAAACATTTGATAAGAAATTTAATGTATTTGATTCATCCCCTCCTGAAAGGCACACTTGTGTACTCAGCACATTTTTCTGAGCTGCTTGACAACTCAGGATTCAAATATCCTTAAACATACTTAACCACAAAATAGCATATGATATCTAGAGTCCATCACTCAACTTTAAAATATTTGTACTATAGACTTTCATTTACTTCTTGTAAAGCATTTGGTGATCTCTTTATTTTAAAATTAGAATTTTACACACTAAGCCATTTAGTTAAAGGAACACTTGGCTTCCCAAACAAGGAAAGAAATAGGACCCTGGAAACGTAGTACACATTCCAGTATTTGAGAGCAATTGCTGTGGGGGCTTTTGTCCACCCCTTCATTAGGATTTCTTCCATTTAGTCTACTTAATGGGGGTATAATTTATAGACAGTAAAATGTACTCGTTTTCACTGCATGGTTCAATGAGCTTCTCCAAATGTGTACACCACGGAATCACCAGCCCAAGGAAGATACAGAACATTTTCTTCACCAGAAAAAGTTTTATCCTCCTTTGCAATCTCTCCACAGCCCTAGGTTACAACTGACCTACTTTCTGCTTCTGGAGATTAATTTTGCCTGTTCTAGAATTTCTTATAAATTGTACCAGATAGTATGTACTCTTGTGTTTAGCTTTTTTTTTTTAGCTTACATGTTTTGAAATCATGCTATTGCATATGTCTGTTCTTTGTTCCTTTTTATTGCTCTGCCATTGAAGTGTATTAGAATTCATTTATCCGCATATCTGCTGATGGATATTTGGGTTATTTCTAGGTGAGGTTATTATGAATAAAGCTGCTACAAACAAGCAGACAAGTCTTTGTATGGATCTATGTTTCCCTTTCTTTCTGGTAAATATCTGTTAGTATAATTGCTCAGTCCTAGGGGAGATACATGTTTAATTTTAGAAGAAACCGTCAAAGTCTTCTCCAAAGTGGTTGTACCATTTTACATTCCCACAATGAATGATGAGAATTCCATTTCCTCCACATCCTCACCAACACTGTGTATTGTGGGTCTTTATTTGTAGCCATTCTAGTGCTTATGGAGTAGTGTCTCTCCTTGTGCTTAATTTGCATTTTCTATGACTAATGATGTTAAACAGCTTTTCTCATGCTTTTTGGCTGTTTTGCATTTCTTTTGTGAAGCATCTGTTCAAGTCGTTTGGCCACTTTTTAGATCAGGTTGCTTTTCTTTCTATTATTGATTTATAAGAATTCTTTACATATTGG